GCCTTGATCCCATTTCTAGGTTGTTTTTTTTTGGTACCAGGGATCAAACTCAGGACCTTGTGCTTTCGAGGCAGGCAATGGCACCATTGAGCTAAATCCCTGGCTCTCTAGGTACTTTAACTTGAATCCATCATTTAAAAGAATGAGAGATTTATTGTGCTCTTTAGAACCAAAAGTTAAAAATCTTCAGTCAATACTCTGACTTTCACCTCGGCACTATCTGGAGTGCATGAGAAATGTTGGCTCTGCTGAGGCATCCTTTCAAGGCCAGACGCCCCAGGGTGGAGAGCAATGGTGTCACAAATGGCAGCATTGAATTGTACTTTGCATAAGCCCAGTAGGTATTTGCTGGAAGCCAGAAAAATCCCACGGCAAAAGCACAAATGGAGTTCATCAAAATGGCAGTGCTTACTCCAGTGCTCAGTGGTGTGGGCCAGGGCACTGAGGTCCGCACTGTTCTCCCAGCAATGGGCCGGCAGAGAAGGCTGCATGCAGATATGAATCCAGACACGGAGCAGCTCACCGCTGTGGAGGACCAGGCATTGAGGTGCTGCGAGCCCTGACTTCTCCCTCCTGTCGCTGCAGAAACCAACAGGCCCCACTTGCCATGGCTTCTGAGATGGCCTGGTTATTCCCAAGGGCAGCCAGCATACTGAGGCAGCACTGTCCCTTCTGCAACCCAGGCTCCATCTCATGCACTGCTCTGCCTGGATCTCACACTCATAGGTGTTTAACCCATATTACCACCATCGTCATCGAGGTACTGGGGCTTGAACCCTGGGAATGTTGAGCTGCATCCCTAACCCTTTTTATTTTGACAGGGTCTCACTGTGTGTCCAGCTGGGCTTGAACTTTGGAGCCTCCTGCTTCAGCCTTGTATGTGGGTGGTGGATTACCATGCCTGCTCTGATTCTTTCTTTTGATCCCTTTTGAGCTGCGGCTCCCCTACAGCTCTGTGTGAGGCAGAATGTGGAAGCAGCGTGGAAGTTCAGAAGCTCTTCTTAAGCCTCCTTCTGTTCCTGGGGTTCTGAGGGGATCAGTTTTGATCAGAGCACCTGGATGATCAGGGCCCATCTGTTCCTCCATTGCTCTCTCTGCTCTCATCCAGAGGACAGCCAGGGTGGAGGGTTCCCTTGGTAATGGCTCAGGTCCTTCCCGACCACCGGGGATGGCTCTAGATGGCATCCTTATGACAGCTATGGTTCTCTTAGACCTAAATTTGCACCGTTTCCCCAAAATGAACTGCTGGATACTAAAGGACATAAAGACCATTTATCATCCTCCAGTGATAACTTTTTTTTTTCTGGTACCAGGGATTGAACTCAGGACCTTGTCCTTGTGAGGCAGGTGTAGTGCCACTGAGCTAAATCCCCGGTCCTCAATGATAATGTTTTTGAAAATTGCTCTGGCTGATCCAGGTGGGATGTGCAGAGTCACTGGGTGTCATCCACGTCACACCAGGTCCTCTCTTCTGGAGCCCTCACCCAGGTCTGAAGGAGGCTCTGTAGGCCCCGGGCCCTGTCAGCACTCCAAGCAGGGCTCTGAGCTGGGCTGGCTGGGACACATGCACGCTGTCCCTCAGGCTGCCTACCTTCCCACCATCTGGATGTTCACCTCTCAGGCATGGGTGGCTGCCTGGTTCACCCTAATGGGACATGGGCAGAATCCTGGGTCCACACCAAGAAGAGTGGTGCCATGGGGGCGTGCAGACCCTGAACTGTGCCAGCTTCTCATCTTCACACTAAAGGACTTAGGAGAAGAGAGAGGAACAGTCTGTGCCTGGTGCTGTGTGTGGAGAGGCCACAGCCATCAGCCTGGACCAAAAGGTCCAGGAGAGGTCCGGTAGTGCCATGACCCCTGGCCCTCACTAGTCATCAGCATTGAGGACTCTTGGCTTAGTGACCTGGTTTACACCTGCCTCCCTGTGGGTGGGGAGTCCTCTGCACAGGGTCTTGCACGGGCTCAGGAGCATGGTCTCCACACAAGGAAAGCTCAGACAGCACTGCCTTCAAGCCCGGGTTCTGCTAACACACAGCCAGTGCTCACCATGGTCTCCTGGGTCCCTAGGGGACAGCTCCCTGCCTCAGTGTCCTGTGATGCTTCAGGCATTTCTGGCTGGGGCCTGGGGCCCCCATGACTCACTGCTCTGATCCCCCTTCCAGGCCTCCAGGAGCCTCACAGGGTGGGCAGCACTGGAAGGTGTGAGTTTCCCCATAGCTCTTAAGCTCTCCTAAAATCACAAACCCTAAATCTTGGCCTTCTGTTAATAACGGAGAGAACAGATTCCCTGGGGATTTAAAGGCACAGCCAAGACAGCTTGTTTGCTAGCCTGAAATTCTTTCAAACATAGACATGAAGGAAATTCCTCTTTGACCTAGAATCTCAGTGCAGTTAAGCCTGCTGACATTTCCGAGGCCAGGCAAGCATGAGAAGTGCATCTGGCGCCAGTCCTGCCCCGTCTCTTTAGGTGCATTATTCAGGTGCTCCCTGAGTTCTTCCCAGCACTGCGCTGGAGGCCTTCCTGGAGTCTGAAACCATTCCTATGCCTGGCTGGGAGAGGAGAGGGCTGTCTACTCTAGAGTCCCCCGGGGCTGGGGATTTAGCTCAGTGCCACCAAGCCTGCCTTGCAAGCATCAGGTCCTGAGTTTGATCCCCGGTACCAAAGAAAGAAAGAAAAGAGTACTCTAGAGTCCCCTGGAAGAGCCAGCGAGTTGCTTCAGGCACTGGACCTCATGTGCCCAGCCTCAGCCTGGCACCTTCGCTGTCTCCTCCCACCACGGGTTTTGAACAGGGTCCGAGGGATAACCCCTCTCATGACTTCTCTGAGTGAAGTTGGAAAAACGAGGTCAGAACACAGCAGCGGGGGTGTCGCCCTGCCCAGGCTCCCCAGCTGGACGCCTTACCAGCCACCAACCCTTTTGTTCAGATTCAGTCTGGAGGTGGCTTGCTGTGTGGGTTCCCAGCAATTTCATGATTTGGATGATATTTAGGGACTTCTTTCCCCTGCCTGGCAGTCGCATGTGTTGTCACATTTTCAAACAGGCTCATGGTGGATGTAACCCTAGGAACATTTCTTGCTGATTCAGGGGCCTCACTTGGGTTCCTGTTACCTCTGCTTTATCTTTTTGCAGGAGTGTTTTCTAATTTCCTTTATGTGATCAATTCCTTCATTTTACAGACATTTGCTGAGCACTTGCTCTGGGACTGGAGCTGCGCATGGGAAACAGGGAGGCCACCTCCAATCCCAGCTGCTGGAGGTGAAGGAATGAGCACAGCTGTGGGCTCTTTTGGGGCTCAGGGGTGGAGAGTGGCTGGTGACGCTGCCCCTGGAGAAAGCTAGGGCTCTCATTCACCACAGATGTGTGCAGAGGGCCACAGAAGGCACTGGTCCTCGGGATGCTCGGTCCATCGGGGAACATCAGGTAAGAGCAGTCACCTGGCCTGCAATTCACACCTTTATCTGCTCTGCAAACCTAGTGGAGGCCTCAGTGTGGGCCATCTCAGTAGACGCGTGCCAACAAGGCTGTCCTCCCCCGAGGGACCTGAGGCTGCAGAGCAACTTCTCTGTTCACACTTAGGGTAACCCTGAGTGTCCAGCTCCAGGAAGCTGGAGCTTCCTCAACTATGGAGAGCTTTTGGGGTGCTTCTCGGGAGGCCACCCACTTTGCTCGTGGCAGGGATTTCGGTGAGGACGGTCCCTTCTAGAGTTTACATTTTTCTCTTAAATATTTGAGACTAAGCCTATAGTCTTGGGCCCTGCACACAATAAAACAAATTTCCATTTTTACTTTATAAGCCCTTCTGTTTACATACATACCAATCAGAACACGCAGGGCCTGGTGAGAACCATCACGGAGGAGCTAGGGCTCAGCAGGCAGCCGGAGGAGGGGCCGGTATAATCCGGTGTCACCCGGGGCTGGGTGCCCGACTCGACCACCAGGGGCAGCTGGGCTTGGGGAGGGCTGCTGAGGTTTCTCCGGCATGGCTGCTGGTTGCCTTGTTTTGTTCAGTTCAGGGCTCCCCAGGCGTCCTCGTCCAGGCATGGGTGTGCACAACATCCCGTGGACACCTTCTCCCTGCCGAGAGCCAGAGACTCACCCCGGGTGGGCCCGAGCTCGGAGCCCAGCCGCCTAGCCTCTCCTAAGCTGCCGTGAACTGCAGACAGCCAGACGATTTTTCTGAGTGGAATTTTTAAAAAACCAATTAGAAACCAAATGACTTCAGTTCCCAGCTTCACTCAGGTTCCCACCACAGCCCTCAGGCAGCAGATTCCATGGCTCCTGTGGTTGCTGTGGGGAAACCCGAAATTTTCAAGGAAGAAGAAATCCTCCCGCTAATTTGGGACACCCCGGTGAACTTCGAACCTTGTGAGAAACTTTCTTCCTCCTAGGTGTTGCCACACAAGAACGTGGGGCGCCTCTCTGCTGGTCGTCCCTCTGTCCTTCAGGTAACTGGCTGGCCTCTGGAAGAGCCTGGTCTCCGGGACTCCTGGGGAGGGCGAGGCGCCTCCCTTGAGATGACTGGGGCTCGCTAGGCTACATTTTTGGAGACTCGTTTTTTCTTCATTTTTCCTACTCCACAAGCTTCGGTGAAAAGGACAAAGGGAGAGCCATGCTTGTTTCTTCTTACTGAATGGACAAAGAGCAACAGCTTCTTGGAGCCAGAACCAGCAGTTTCTGCTCATTTTGTATCTGCGAGACTTTGGTCAGTCACAGGCCACGGTCAGACCAGTAACAGCCAGAGTTAGACCAACAATGGTCAAAGTTAAACCAATAACTGGCGAGAGTTAGAAATGATAATTGGCCAAAATTAGAGGAATAACTCACATGCTGGATCTGGGTCACACTGGCTTGCCAGAGCCAATGTTAAGTTTTCGGTTTTGAAAGCCAGTTTGTAAACAGTTGTTATGGTTTGGATCTCAATTGTCCCCAAAGGCCATGCCTGGGAGGTGGCAGGAGCTTTTTAAACTGAGGCTCTGGAAGGAAGGGAGGTGGCTGGGCTGTGCTGTCAAGGGGATGCCAAGGCACTGGTCCTCCTCTCTTTCTTGCCTGCTGGCTGCCATGAGCTGTATGGTTGCACTGCCATGTGCTCTGCCATGAGGCACTGCCTCATCAGTAACAGCAGCACCATAACCAGTGGACCAAATCTCTGAAACCATGAGCAGAAATAACCCTTGACTCCTTTTAGCTGTTTACCTCAGGTACAGAAAGCTAACACAGTAGTCACTATTAAAAATTAAATTAACTTAATCATGTAAGGAAATCATATTACACAAATTATAGTTAATACCATTATAAAAATAAATGCATTACAGTGAAAACAAAAGTAAGAAATGCTGAGAGCTTGTCCCTTGTATTTTACTGTCATCCATGCCCTGGGAGTTTCTACATCTTCTGTCCCTGTGTGCTGGCAGTAATGAACACTGCAGTTGGGCGTGCCAAGAACTCCCTTGTCCCGTGCAGGAAGGTCTGCTTGGCCTTTGCTTGGTTTTTGGAGGTAACAGCTCAAAGTCAGGCGAGATGCTGGAATCCCCAGTGACAGGTGAGATGCTGTCACTCATGGTTTATGCCAAGAAGTGACTGATGAGAAGATGTGGACAACGGCTGGTCATGCCAGAAAGACGAGAGGGCTGGGCTCTGTGCCCTCAGATATCGCCCAGCTGGGCTGGAGGTCCATTCAACTTGAGACCAGTGGTCCACTTAATCACATCCAGTTAAAGCTCTGGACACCCCGGTTCAGATGGAAACACGAGCTCTGTGGCATCACAGGTTGGTGTCCCTGGGAGGGTGACAGGGCCCCCCAGTTTGGTTTGGTGCACACATGTAAAGTAGTGTCAACAACTACCCATCATTGTGTAATGCAGCTGTTAGCTGAGTGCAGACCAGAGCTTGGCAAAATCAAGAGAGTTGCTATGAGAATCAGACTCCAGAGCTTTTGCAATAAGGAGCATTGGACACTGTTTTCTGTGTTCTGGGCTATGCATCCTTGTGACAGCTCCTGGTGTGTCTGTGACGTGAGCTTTGCAGAGGTCACAGTAGATATGTTGCATCTGTCTGCGGATGGCCATGATTACAGCGTCTCTGGTATCTGAATAACATGGGTTTCAGCACTCCAGTCCATCCCGTGGACTTGGGACTTGCCAGCCTCATCCATAATCACACAGGGCAATTCCTTGAAACAATTCTCAGTCTCTCTCTAATCTGTATCTATCTGTGTCTGTGTATCTATGGATCCCTGCCTCTCTCTGTGTTTGTTTCTTCCTGCTCTGCTTCCCAGGAGGATCTCAACAAATACAGGGTGAACTGGAAAAAGGAGGAAGTGTGAAATAGTCTGACCTGGCAGGTGAGGAAACAACAAGAACTGTGCTTGTTAATTTGCACTCTGTGGGTAAAACCAAAAGATTAACACAGATGTTGTTTCATCTTGATTCATGCAGCTACAGGCCAGGCTGCCCTGCTTGTGTGCAGAGCCCTGACTAAGACCTGTGATACCGAGCAGGGGTGGAGTCGCCTCCCAGGGTGACACCTGTGCACATCAGCTTCTGGGATCAGGTGGGGCTGGGCCACCTGAAGATGGAAGCCTGAGTCCCCATGGTCATTGGAGGTAGTCCTGCTCTGTAGGAGTGAGGTCTGGGCCATCCTGTGACCCGAACCCTCTAGAGACCTGGACAGCTGGAGCTGTGAGATAGGGCTGGGTGTGCTCTGAAGTGAGCCTTTGATGTCTGCTTATGACACAGATGAGATGGTTGCAGAGAACCATCGGCAGGGTCTGTGTGGAGTGACCGTCCAGCCATCAATGCAGGTGAAATCCCACATTAGCAAGTTATTTTATAATTTCTGAATGATCAAAAATGATTTACAGTCCTCAAGATAGGACATACTTATCCCCAAATCAATACCACAAAATTCTAGGGACGTGTTTAAGTATAATTTGAACAGAACAGAAATCACTGGCTTCTAGGGCCAAGAATTCCTAAGATAAGAAAAAAATAGGTTTGGATCAGGGTGAGCCGGGAAGATCCCCCTAGGCACCTGAATAGCAGTGGAGTAATTTAGCTCCTTTCAAAGCTGGACACTGGGCTCCAGAGAAATGCAGTGGTGAGATGCTCTTGGGCTGACCTTCAGTGTGGCCAGGTGAGCACTATGCAGGGTATAGAGGCAGCTTTCAGGGCCCTCAGAGGCAGCCAGGGGCACAGAGCCTGTCCTGATGGTGGACCCCAGTCCTGGGGTGCCCAGGCCTGGGAGGGCTGATGGTGCAGACAGGGAGGCAGAGGACATTCTGTGATGCAGCTGTTCCTCTACTGTCATGTTTCTGGTTTCTGCTGTGATGTGCATCCTTGTATCTAAATTTTTATTATTTATTTGAAGTCGAAGCTTTTGATTTTACATAGGAGCTTAGATCACCGAATTCTCATTTGTTTTTCTAAAATCTGTATTTTAAGCTACAAATTTCTTCTCAGTAGTACTTCAGTTGCAGTCTACACATTTTGGTGCACTTTTCTTATCATTCAGTTCAAACTGTTTTGAAATTCCCTTGTGATTTATTTCTTCTTTGATCTATTTACCAGTAGATGTGTTGCTCAATTTTCACATATTTGATTTTTAACAATCTTTTGTTATGAAGTTCTAGTTTCAGTTTCCCTTGGCCAGAGAATCCACTCTGCATGACTTTATTTTTCTAAATTCATCAATTTCTGCTCTTTAGTTGCATGTGGGCTGCTGGGTGCTTGAGTGAATCCTGACCCCAGGACCTTGACCCATGGTTGTTTGGAGAGGGGTCTTTTCAGGAGTCATTAGGTCAGTAACAACTGAGTGGGCACTTGAAAAAGCAAACATTCTGAAGCTACTGAGTGCTCTACATATGTTAATCAGGCCAAGTTGGCTAATATTCTTGCTCAAATGCTCTATGTCTTTATTGACTTTTTTGATTGGCTTGTCATATCAATTAGAGAGAGAAGTGTATTAAAATGTCCAATTAGGGCCATGTGTGGGGACACATGCCTATAAGCCCAGCATTTGGGAGGCTAAGGCAGGATTGCCTAGGCTACATAGTGAGTTCAAGGTCAGCCTGAACCACATAGTAAGACCCTGTCTCAAACAACAACAACAACAACAACAACAACAACAAATTGTGATTATGGATTTGTCTGTTTCTTTTTAATTCCATCAACTTGGTATCACTTGTCTTTAAGCTTGCTGTGTGCACATTTAGGATTAGGTTTTCCCGATGCATTGACCCTATGTTATCACGAAGGGTACAGGGCTGAGACTGTCAGGCAAAGGTGTCAGTATTCAGAAGGTGCCAGGCTGAAGTCCAGGGTGCCAGAACCCCTGTGTGGGACCAGTGGACTCTGCCTTCCTCCTGCTCCCTGCATCAAGATTGGCTGCCCTGAATTTCCTTGCTTACTGTCCTTCCTAGGTAAGCAATTGGATCACGGAATTTGTGTTGAATTATGAATGGTTTGCTTGGCAGAGTTAATTACTTGGAGGAATGCAGAGTGGTGGAAGCTCCAAGGGGGAGTTTCCAGTCTATAACGGCACTTCACTTTTAGGGTTGCTCGGGGCAGAACCGGCTAGAGCTCATGGCCAGCTCCTCCCCCAGCCTGGGGATCCTGGGAGGAGGCAGATGTGAGTGACTACAGGCCCGAGGTGGCTCACGGCATACAGTGCTTGAAGTCACTATTGTCCCAAGGGGCTTCCCAGGCCGGAATCTTCATTCTATATTCATTTCTTAATCATTTTCAAGGATTAAACACTTACATTATCTTCAATTCTTGGATAGTAATATTATAAATATCAAATGATCATTCTTATACACAAATCATTGTATATAACTCTGAAAATTAAAGTAAGGAGATTTCCCAGAAATGAAATTACAGGGTAAATTGGAATGAACACTTGAAATTTTATAGCAAGTTTAAAGTTCATAGAGTAAATAAGAATGGTAAATAATGTCTGTGAAATTAATGTTACATAGTATTACGATAATACAATAACATAAAAACCTACTAATTAAGGGTGTAACCACTGTGGAGGTGATGCGAAGCGGGCTGCATTGTCACAGGACCTGTGAAAATGTTACTTGCAACTAAGGATCCAGATTTAATTTACTTTTCTTATAAAGCGATGTAACAGTTTGCTTATTCTATTGCCTTTTACAGTTTCTGGTACAATGGTTACTAAATGCCCAACTTCAGGACATGGAGTAGCCCTGGGACAGGATCCTTGTGGTACCCAGCTCCAGGGTACAGGGTGACTCTGAGACAGAACAGGTGGTCCTGGTGGTCAACACGTCCAGGACATAGTCACATGGTGGCCTGGGTGGGGGTCTCTGTGGCATCTCTTGTTCCCTGTGTCTCAATGTTGTCATCAGGTGACTCCAAGGACACCAGTGAGCCTGACCCACTGGGTCTTGGTTTTGGTCCTGTGCACCCCACAGTCTCATAGAGCTGTCCCTAATCCTGCTTTGGCTTCCATGGCCCAGGATTGGGTAAGTGGGGAGCAGATGCAGCTCACACACACTGTTTCCTCCTCTGGATGCCCCCAGCCCATTTGGGGTCCCATCTGTTCCAATGTATCAGTGCCCCAGTTCCTTATGGTGCTGAGCCTGGATGGGATCTGGGTTTGTTGAACACAAAAGGCCCTGGCACCCTGGCTGAGTAGCAGAGGGTTTTGGACTCAGTTCCCGACCTGGTCTCCAGGCGGCTCTGTGAGCCCTGGGAGCAGCTGTGGCGCTGCTTGGGGTCCTGATCATTCCATTCAGCCTCTTGCTTCTGCTGCCGTCCTAGACCCTCCCTGCTGTTCCTTAAGTCATCCTGGTCATGGACCTTGGCCCTGTCCCAGACCCTCTGTCACGGTCACTGACTGGCCTCCCCTCTAAGGTCCACAGAGCCCTGCAAAACGCTTTCCATGTTCCTTGGAGAACAGGTCAGAGCTCAAGTTCGCTTGACTGGCTTTTATCCAGTTGTTCTGCTGGGAGCTGCACCTTTGTGCCTGGGCTGCTCTGTCTGATCCACGGTTTCCTTGCTCTTGTATCCTCCCCACCCCTTGCACAGGGGCCTCTGCAGAGCCATCCTCCACTGGCTCCTCTGTACTGTGCATCTAGAGCTCCAGTGCACAAGCCTGGGCCTGGGTGCCCCCAGTCCTATGAGCTGGAGGAGCCCTGGGGGCTAGGAGAAGGAATGACCTTAGGCTGCACAGACTCCTGTATCTTAGCGCTGGCTCTCAGTAGACTGTGATTATTTATGATTTCAAAGTCACAACTCTTTCATATTCTGGACTTGCGTTATTTAAACCACCGTGTCTTGTGTTTTTCAGGTGCACTGAATCTCCACGCTGTTTTCTTGGACTTTCACATGCAGCCTTCACACATGAGGCTACAGAACCCTGAATCTCAGAGTGGGTCTGGCCCAGGTCGGTGTGGCTTGGTGATTATATCCCAACAGTTTGTCTCCCTCCTGTTCCCCCAGTTCCAGGTGCTGAATAGACACCGCTCTAACCAAGGTCCCAGGGATGGCCCTGGGGCATCCAGCCCAGGACTTGCCCTGAAGAGCCCTCTGTGTCTCACGGAGCAGAGGACGAGGGGCGGGGCGGGAGGCTGCCAGCTGAGGCTGCCTGCCCCACTTCTCTTGTCGTCGAACAGAGAACATAAAGGAAGCACGACACTCTTTTCTTCCCACCCTCAATGAGCACTGTTTTGGTATAAAAGATGCCCTGGATCCTTTGTGACATCAGTGTCCCCACACAGTGGCTCCCAGGCACCTGCTGGTCCACGAGTGGTGCTGACGTGGATGTGGGAGGACGCACGAGCTCTGCTGCTGTGGGACGCTGGCGCTGGTCCACTTTGTTAGTGGGTCAGGTGAGGCTCGCTTTTAACAGAGCTGAAGAAAAGCTCTCTGTAGAGGCAAGATGCTCACTGTTCCTTACAGTTAAAGACATGCAGATTAGAGAAATGGGGCCCTCAGGGTCCCCTGCAAAAGACAAAGCACCCACCAAGGTGTGTGGTGCCTCAGAGTGGCTAGAGCATGACTTGCTCCCACTGTTCCCAGGGCAGACACCTGCTAGAGTTGAATACCCTTCACCCCATGAGGACCTTAAGGGTTTATTCCATGAGAATACTCAGGCAAGCATAAATACAATGTAAAAGCAGCTCAAACAGGGACAGTGAACTGACCGGATAAACAAAGTTATGTCTAGGCTGTGAGTGATATGGAGCTGTGGAAATAGTGCAGATCTGAGCTGGGTGTGGTGGCACACACCTGCAAACCCAGGTATGAGAGAGGCTGAGGCAGGAGGACCTCAAGTTTGAGGCCAGCCTGGTCCACTTAGTGAGACTGTCTCAATAAAAATGCACATTTGGACATTTAGATGGAAGGAGCTCCATTCTGTCTTAATTGGAAAAAGCAGGCTGCAGAACCTCTGTACAAGGCGACCTAATTTCCATGAGTAAACAGAGAAGGAGAGGGGGAAAGATCTGTTTGGTAGACAGGAAAATCCTAGACCAACAGCAGTGCTTGCGATGACTACCTCAGTGGAGCAAGGAGGACCCAGTGTGTCACTGCCCCGGAGCTGAAATTCTGACTCTGCTGTGTTCATCACTGTTCATCCTGCAGAGGGTGTCCTCAGAGCCCTCAGCCCTCCCATCAGGTCAACTCTCCTTCAGCATCTCCCCAATACTTCCTACCTTACGGAGCTCACACCTTCTCGTCAGCAGGACCTGCACTGGCCCTCCTCCTTGGCTAGCCTGCTTTGCTCTGATCAGCAGACAGTGCTCTGCTTGGCTCCATTTCTAAGTTTGGCCTTCTGAGAGCCTGATTTTTAGCCCTGTGTCATGTTCCTCTTGGCAATCCAGCAGTTTGGTTGAGTGTGGAGTAGAAATATTTTTTCTCTGTCTATGGCATAATTATAGTTAAGGGTAAGCACACACACGTATAAACAAACACACATATACACACAGACATGGACGCCCTCTTATGTGCACACATACAGGCATGCACGCCCTTCCATGTGTACATACACATGTATGCACATCCTATCAGGTACACACACACACACATACACATGTGCACTGAGTCCCACTCTGGTCCTGGATGATAGGTCTTCAGGTTCTGGGGAGCTGAGGAGCTGAGGGCAGGGAAGGTAGTTAGGCCACATACCCCAGCTGCCACACATACTCCTTAGCCACCTCAGACCTGCCTTCTTCCTGAGGACCTGAAGGGTCAGGTACAGCCTCCAGGGAAGCATCCTTGAAGGAGCCATGTGGCCAGCAGGATTCTGCCTGCGGCACTGTACTGAATATCACAGAAAATCTGTACCCAGGACAGATGTGACACCAGGTTTACAGCCGCATCTACATAGCTCTTCTCCAAAAGGTGGGCTTGTGACATCACACATGGACTTGGGACACATCAGAGCATACAGTGATCACTGCTACTAGTCAGTTCCCTCAGCCCTGTTTACAGAGTCTTCTTTCTGTCCCTAGGCACTTGCTTAGACAGGCAAGCACATTCCATGTGTGGGCAATGTCCACACCAGTGATCAAGGTCCACGGTGCACAACCCACACCTAGACACCAGCAACATTTCACTTCCTTCCAACAGCTGGAGAGACAAATTGAGCCGGAGCTCTCTTTATTCACCTGTGCTCCTCTCAGTAGCTGTAGCCCTCATACCCAGTCCCAGGTCACCTGTCTCCCATGCTCCCATAAAGGTTAGGGCTTGGGGCCTCTGGATCCCCTGAGCTGCCCACCCCACTGTGATTGCAGAAACAGGGACCTTATCTGCAGTACTGGGGAGGCATCCAGGGATGGCTCGGCTGGATAAGGGAGCAGACTTGGGCTGGCTCTGCTGTCCCAAGGCCCATGTCCCATCTTACTCCCAGGAACATGGGTGTGGGGTCTTGTTCTTTGCTGCCTCCTGGCCCCCCAGCCTCTGGCCTGAGCACCTCCATGGTGATCACCAGTACCTGGATGGCCAGGGTCCACATGGCCACCAAAGCCGCCAGGGACACTCTGAAGACCTCAGCTTGAGGGACAAGTGCTGGGTCTCACAGGGGCAGCTGCTGGGCTGATCCTGCAGGCCCGAGTGCTGCGGGGCCAAGGGCTTGGTCTAGGGATAGGAGGGTGCCCCTCCCACCCATGTCTGCCTCTGTGGCCATGTCAGCAATTTCCTTGGGATCTGCAGACACTTCAAAGAATAGAAAGCAAGGGCTGCTGTTTGCAAATACCAGACAGGAGGCTTCATACCATTTTATATATTGTTAAAACAATTCTCCATTGAAACAGAAATAACTTTAATATTCTCATCAAAAAGAGAATAGGTTTGCTGTTTCTCCCAGGTAACACCTGTCCCTTGGGCCTATTACCAGCCTGGGTAGAGCAGCCCTCTGCCAATGCAGGATTGGGTTTGGGGCCAGGCCCTCCTTGAGTTATCCTGCTTTCCCCCAGTGGTTGGGTCTGGGATGTTGGGTGCACAGCCTTTTGGGGACATGGTCAGGGACCAGGAGAGAGGGAGGGGAGGCTGCTGTACTTGCTGACCACCCCTCGTCTGTTGTGGTTTGAGCTCCCAGCTTCTGTCCAGCATCCTGTGGGCTTCCAGGGCAATGCCCAGCCCAGGTCTAGGCCTGGCTCCCACCACAGGACCTGTGCTGGGCAGAGTCAGCAGAACCTAAGAACTCTTTTGTAGCCTCTGGCCACAGCTCCAGGTCACGGATGTTGATTCTGACGTTTAGGGCTGCCTGGTCTCTCCGGTTCATGTTCAAAGTGGATCCACTTACACAGCTGAGCAACATTATGAGCAAAATGATCTAAATGCTGCCATTTAACAATAATGTGCACTTACATCAAATCTATCACAAGGCTGCCTGTTCCACACACAGCACTGAGCCGAGGAGGGGATTATGTTAAGGAGGGGCAAGCTGTGGACCAGCCCAGTGGTGGCAAGGGGGCAGCAGGAGGAAACACCTCGCAGAACAGTTACATGACTGAGGTCTCCGTCTGTAGGAAGGACTGGGTACGGGAGCCCCGGTGGATCTGCAGGGCGCTCTCTGAGCCATGCCGGGAGATGGACCAGCTGTGCAGCCGGTAGTTTCGGCCCCCAGGCTGAGTCAGGCATAGGCTGTGCCACCTTCTTTTCAGCTCGCACTGGACCTAGGGTGGGGGCACCGCAGATGTTAGCTGCTACCCTGGGTGGAGGGCCTGCTGCTGTCTCCATGGCTGAGCAGATAGATAAAGATGGCCTGGAGCAGAAGGGACATGGGATGCCAGAGTAGGAGAAACTTTCCCGGCCAACCCAGTACCAACGGAGGGGCCTTGTACATCAGCAGGGACCTTCCTTGTTGGGCAGAAATGTGGCTGCTTGTGACACAGGTCTGGTTATGCCTGGCACCAGCCCTTTAGCTCCAAACACAGTCCTGGCTGTATAGGGTCCCAGCTGGCCTTCTCCTCTCTCAGGAGTCTGAGTGAGGGGTACTACCTCCTGTGCAGGCTGGGGAGGGGTGATACAGGGGACTGAAGCTCAGAGAAGAGGGGTGTGCTCTGGAAAAGACATCCTTAGCGATGGGGGAGGGAGCCAGACTGTTAGCCGTGCGGGGCTGCCAGGCTTTTGGGTGAGCAAGGTCCCAGATTCCAGCTTCATCTTGGGATGAGATGGGGTCTCATGGAGATCCCAGCCCCTCCTGCCAAGGCCCTGCCTTTGTGTACTGAGTCAAGATCAAGGAGCAGGACGCTAACCACAGGGGCGCTGGGCATTGAATTCTACCTCGTGGAGGGAGGAAACTATGGTTTTGAGGGAAGCTGGGCCAAGATCTGCAGGGCAGGGCTCTGACCTGGCTGTGAGGAGCAGGGAGAAGACAGGGACCAGGGCTCACCTCACTGTTCAGGAAGCAGTAGAGCACCGCCACCACCAGGCCCTGCAACGGTAAAGTGTCAGCATGGCCCATGGTCCCCTGCACCCACCCACAACCCCTGCACCCACCTGGAAGGACCCGACACACAGCTCGAACAGGATCTGGTACTGGGAGGAGATGCCAATGGGGAAGGCTGCAAACACCATGTAGTGGACACCAAACAGCGGGATGAGCAGCAGTGTAGACTTGGCCAGCCTCCTGGGCCAGAGGGAGAGGGACGTGGTTACTGCAGGGGTCAGAAGCTGGGGCATGTGGGGTGGGGGCATGCACGGCCTCATCTGCTCTTGCACCCACCAGCCCTGGCCCCGGCCCTGGCGCGGCTCTCCCTGTGTATCTGGACAGGTGACAAAGGCTTTGCCTCCCAAGGGAGATGCTGTTACAGGTGTCCTGTGGGGCTTGTGCATAGTGCGGCTCTCAGGGGGCGCAATATCCTTGTCAGTGCTTCCACGGGCCAGTCACCAGGCTGATCACAGGGCCAACCCAGCATGGTGCCTTTAGTGCACAATTGGCTGCCAGCTGTTGATACAGGCATGGTGATGTGGTGCAGGCGGCTGTGGCTGGACACCCTGCTCCCTACCCCCAAGGCAGAACCTCACCTTCTCCCCTGCCCCCCGTTGTCTCATCCAGGTCTAGAACCTCAGCTCCTGGGAATCCTGGCCTGGAAACCTGGTGATGGTGCAGATCCCACCACGCTCACAGCTCAGGGGCCACTGATGACCCCTGGCCCCATTCCCAGGGATGACAGGACCCACTCTGAGAACCCAGCTCTGGGCTGCAGCTGTGTGGCCACGCATTGGGAGTCACAGGCTTGACCAGGCAGCTGCTGACGTCGCCGGAGGCACTGTGCTGGAGTCTTGTGGGCCTCGGAGTAAGCATCCTGCTGAGCCCCGTACGCCCCTGGTTGACTAGACACTGAGCTGAAGGAGCTGAGGGCTCCCGACCTTCCCTCAGCTGCCCCCAACATTCAGGAAAGCACCAACAACTTCAAGAATATATTTCCTCCTCTTTTCCCCTTCTCCTCCTTGCAGTACTTGTGCTTCACTGCAGGAATTTTAAAGGTGTTTTCTTTGGGGATATGGTCTTGCTGAATTGCTCAGCCTGGGCTCGACTCTCAATCCTCCTGCCTAAGCCTCCCAGAGAACTGGAAATACAAGCCATCACTGGCTAATGCCAACTTTTTAAACTCATTGTTGAGGCCCCCACCTTAAATGCACACCCAACTAGGGAAGGCTAGTTCTGGAAGTATGTTCCTTCCCCTACATCCAGCATTTCCCCTGCCACGGGTGGTTGGCCCAGGGTCAAGGCCAGCTCTGGGCACTGTGATGTTCAAGAGTATCTGCTCATAGCCCCTTGTCAGCATGCCCACATGGTCTCTGGGCACGTGCTTTGGGCTGGCCATCTCTTTGCAGAGACTGGGAGGGTACAGCACAGCACTCTGTGTTCCTCATCTCAGAGAAACAAGTTTCATCGGCCACATAACTTTGTGAAATAAAACCATCTCTCTCATGATCAACTTAACACCAAGGAGCATGAGGGAGTCTAGCACAAATGCTGAGATTTGCAGAAGGTTCAAGTTCCAAGGGTTGGCTGGGCAGGGAAAGTTTTCCTTGGGTTTCACACATGAGATGGCCAAACGAAAGTGTTCTCCAAGCCCGCTCACAGTGCTTCTTGCAGGCACTGAGTGTCTTCCAGGTGACCTCAGTGGATGCTCAGGCCTTGGTGACAGACTGCTTCCATTTCACAGATGTGGAAACCAAGGAGCAAGTAGGGGGTCACTTCTCTCAGCCCCTCACTGGGCTGTGGCCTTATACTGGGGTCCTGCCTGGCTTGGCCACCCTGATCCCCTGTTCACCCCTGAATAGGCAGGCAGCCACCCAGGTGACACAGCTCTGAGCCTGAGCAGCCCTGTCCATCTGTGCTCCAGGCTTCTTCTGAGCTGGACCAACTCTTTATCACCAGACTCAGGCTTACTCAGGCCTAAGGACTGAACTTGAGTTTTTCTTTATGAACTATGGGTAGAAATGTATGGAATCTTCAAGTTTCCACATGGATTCCTCAGATCATCACTGACTGGCTGGGGACTCCCCTGGCTTCTGCCCTCCATGGAGGGATGACAGTGGCATTCACTTGACCTGTGAGTGACCACTGGACTGTCACCAAGGTAGGACATCCGGTGCTAGCTGTGGTCCTATGGCTGTGGACCATGGAATCTGATAGGGAAGACAGCTAACCTGTGAGTTATGTGTACCCCAGAGGACAGGTGGCCCCAGAGGAATGTGGTCACTGTCTAACAGCATGCTCACCCCAGGAATCTGGCACCATCAAAGGTCACACAGGAACCGGCAGATCTGGGGGTCAGCACCAGCCACACCTGCAGCCAATTTGGCACATGGACTCGGGAGCTGGACTGAAGCACACTCACTTGTACTGGGATTGATCATTGCCGCCCACATCCGGGGACGTCAGCTTCTGCAGTAAAATCCTTATGATGCTGATGAAGAGCACAAAATTGACCTGTGCAGAGAGACATGGGTGCTTGGTTTCCCTGTGCATGGTGGGGGCATGTGGGGCACCTGCGGGGCCAGAACCTTGTCAGAATGAAAGCCACCACCATGCGCCCCAGAGCAGTGTGAGCATGCGAATGGGCTAGGCCCCAGCCTAGCGTGGCCCCAAAGTCCAGCCAGGGGGGTTCTGGAGTCCTCTTTCTATGGGGAACCACATCCCTGAGCTCCTCATGCCCCTCAAGGCCTTTTGTAAGATGACAGAGCAGATGGCCGTCATCTCCAGGGGAGGCCACATTTCCACAGGAAGTTACTCACTAGGATGGAGACCAGAATGGGTGTCCGGATCACCCACCAGGGGACGCTGTGGTCATTTGTGTCCCAGCAACTGTGGGGGAGAAGGAGCACCGTGTCAGGCTGAGTCCAGGGAGGGCAACTGTGCAAGGGACACACCTGTACCTGCAGGGGCCCCACACCCTTCCTGACACCACCCTGCTTGGACACCAGGCTCTGCTTGGAGACAGTGCAGGGCGTCTTCCCTGAGGAGAAAGGCCTCCCCTTCTACAGTCTACAGCCCTCCCACAGTCTGCAGTGGAGAAATGGGACTGAGAGTGGCCCAGGTCAGCTCTGGAAAGCCCGGCAGCTTGTCACTCGTGGCGAGGCCCAGGCTCATGCTTCCTTCTGCTGACATCATGAAAAAGGATTTTTTGCTACTGAAGGTTAATTTCCTCTTGTTCCTGAAATGGTTTCCATGTATCTTGAGTGAAAGTTTAATTGTGCCTTCAGAATGGATGAGATGGGTCTGGCTAGGACTGTTCTGTCTGGCAATAATCTGGATTTTGATTTTCCATGTGAGGATTGTCTCTAGTGGGAAGCATGATCTGTACTGTGAACGGCCTCTGTGACTCCATCCCAGGTTCGTGCCCCTCCTGGTCCCCACATCCCTCCAGTGCCCCCAGGATAGGGGCAGCAGGGGGATCAGTCCACTCAACCAGGACCTCTGGGAAGGGGTCTGAAGAGGAATCACTGCAGGGTCCACCCCAAGTCCCCAGTCGCACACTAGACCAGTAGGTTGTTTTAGGCCATCCACCTCTGAGGGGTTTGTTGCTGAGGATAGCAGACACCCCGGGCCTTCACAAGGCTCATTTGTGCTGAGAATGCCTGGCTGTGAGAGCAGAGTCTGGCTCTTCACAGAAAGGGCAGGAGCTCCAACCCATAGTGGCCACAGGAACCGGTGGGCGTGGGGGGTCAGCACCAGCTACATGAGCCACAGAGGTCACTGGGCAGCCACTCAGTGCTCTGCTCTGTGGATGCACCTGCTACTCCTTGGCGTTCTTCTGTGGACTAGTTGTGTAACATGAGACCCCACCTATCTTGCCTGGTTTCTTCACGGCCAGGCCTGGCTCCTTCCTCCAAATGTCTGAGGCTTTGGACTTATAGGGGCTCAAACGCTTCTGTCCTTACCAGGAGCAAGCTTCTCGAGCTTCCACATAGCCAGCATGGCTGGATCATTTTGAAGGCTGGGCATGGGCGCAACTCACCCTGTGTCTTCTAAAGAGAGCCGGGTAGCTGTCCACACTCCAATGCAAATGGTGGGGATTCCTGCAGGGACAATGGGTCAGACCACCCCACTCAGAGATCAGGCCCAACCCAACTACAGCATGGGCCAGACCGGCAGGAAGGAGCTTCCCACCCAAGGGCCAAGTCTTCATCAATAGGTGTGCCTTTATATCCATGCCTTCCTAGGCAGCGAGACAGTCAGGGCATCCAAAAGCTGAGGGCCTGATGGAGGCCGGGACCAGGCTTCTGGGGCAAGAAGTGTAGCTTCAGACTCAGAGGCCCCATGTGATGAAAAATGTGCCTCCTGCCTCTGGGCCAACCCCAGAGGCTGACAGAGGCCCCATGGGGTGACATCTGTCCTGCTCCTCCTCTGCACCTCCCCCTTTCTGATTTCTAAACACCATAAGCTGGGTGGGAAGAGGGAAGAGTCACAAAGAATTTCCCTACTAGTCAGCAGCTCAGTTTGAATCTGGAGTAAAAGGGGCCAGCAATAGGGATTTGAAACATTTTAACCCAGGTCTCTGATTTCCAGAAATACCCACTTATTATCTACTGGACTCTCCTGTCACCGAATATGACCCTAAGGTGCACCTAAAGGAGTGAAGGGTTTTCTGGGCTGGAGGAGTCTGTTGATTGGGGGTGGATGGAGTCAGTGTGGAGGAGTCCTCACCCCATCCGATCAGCAGGTAGGCCAGGAAGCACCTGCTGGGGGAGAAGATGGCCACCAGGAGTGTGTGCAGGTACAGCCCCTCCACCAGGAGCCAGTAGAAGTTCGCCATGATGCAGTACTGGAAGAAGACCAGGCTGAGCTTGCAGCTGACCTGAAACAGAATGTGTCCTCAATAAAAATGCACAGCTGAATGCTGCTCTCCTGTTGTCTAAGGAGTGAAGGATGAGCCAGGTGCTAGCTCTCTGGTCGTGGTGAACAAGAACCTCCTTGAAGAGGAACATGGCCGGGGGTAGGGAAGCCACCCTCAGGACAGAGCGCTGTGATAGCACAAGCTGTGGGTGTCCTCCTGGATGTCACGCTCTGCTGACCCCTTCTTGCCCTCCTTTCTGCCCTTTTTCCTCCCCTGCTCTGATGTGTGGGCTCTGCTTCTCCTCCACTGTCCACTCGAATTGTGCCCTTCTGGGACAGAAAGTGTGCCACGTACTGGGGCTACACTGACATCTGCCGGGCTGGGCCAGGCACTTTGGGCTCAGCCTGTGCCTGTGGCTCCTGGCCTCTGTCCCCACATCTGACCAGGATACACAGGAACAGCTGTGACTTGTCGAGGCCATTTCCCTATCAGCATGTCAGGAAGATCGGGAAGAGAAAGCAACGGATGGGGCAAGGTTCCTAGATGCTTCTGTAAGAAATTCTGACACCATAATTTTTCCAATAGTAAGAGTAGTTTTAATTTTCAGAGACTACATCGAGATAAAAAAAGGTAAAAAGTGAGAAATCTAGCAAATGAATTATTTTCCCCAGGGATGCAAAACCGTTGTCACTGGAAAAAAATGCCATATTCTGCCATATTCTATACAATACATTCATTTTCAACTCCCGGATGTCCTTTCATACAATTAAACTTACACTTATACACATACAGATGGGTGAGGACACCGTTACATGTACACACAGTAGATTTGCTTACACATGCACACACAACTGGACAGTCACACACACGAAGGGTGTGAGGAACAGGGGGTCCTTCACCCTGGCCTGCTCCCTTCCTCCGGTGTACAGAGCATCCTGAATCTCTGAGAAAATTCGGGCATTTAGCATCTAGTCCCTGAAACTCTGTGTTCCCAGGATGTGCCAAGTAGGGGACACTGTAAGTAGACGGGGACCGGACTGTCCAGGAAAGCATTCTCTGGAGGATGCCGGGATCTGGGCCAGCTGGTGTCACCTGCAAGAGTCACTCCCTGCTGTGTGTTGTCAGCTGCTCCTTGGGACACTGGCCACACAATGGCACAAGGACAGCTAAGGACATCGTTGTGATATTGTTTGCTCTACAAATCCCCCTGCAATACCGCCGCAAGCAACTCATCTAACTGGCCACCAAAGCTGCCGAGTGATGCTGTTGTCAGGTTCCTGCTGTCCCTCATGGAGTTGCCAGGCAGTGATGCTGTTACTGAGCACATACTGTGGGATTTGCCAGGCTGCTCTCTTGCTGAGTACAAACCTCTTGGGATTTTTCTGGGTGGTGCTGTTGTCGAATACACATGTACTCTGTGGAATCTGCCACCAGAAGGTACAGCTGTTAAGTGTGTACCTGGTGAGATTTGCTGAGTGGCACTGTTGCATGGTACTTTCCTTTTGTGGACCTGCCGAAATGTGATGCTGGGCCCCTTTGTACTTCCTGTGGAGCCTCCCTTGCTATTAAGTGGAATTACCCCTTTACTTCCCTGTTAGTCTTAATAAACCCAACTGCACAAGTCATCTCCAGATATTTTCTTCTGACCCTCAGCAACCTGCTCCTCTGCCCCAGCCCAGCTGGGCTATGGATGGATGCCAACCCAATCGTCGTCAGTTCCCTCATTTGGGAGCAGGACAACTGCTCTTTTAAAGGCAGCTGAATGTTTACTGCGTCCAGGGAAAAACTTGGCAGAGGCTAGAGGGTCTCTGCATAGGGGCAAAAGAGAGTTGAGAGGTGCTGCTTTAGGGGACATGGGTCTTGGCAAGTTGTCTGAGGATCATGGTTTTCTTAAATAAGAGCTACAGACAGACATCTCCAAAGAGCAGGGTTAGAGACCACCTCAGCAAGGGTGTACACTCTTGGGGTCCCAATACAGGACCAGAGCTCCAGGAGCCCTAACTTCCACCTGGGGGAGGATCTACCAGGTGAGGGGTCTTCATCTTTATTATTACAACAGACTCCGCACATAACCTAGTCCTGCATCCTGAGCGAGTTTGTCCTGGACATGTCTTCACTTGCAGGGTACCCAGATGGCTTCAGATCACCAAGGACCTTCCATCTCAGAACTAAATGAGCCCACATCTGCTCAGGCCAAGCATCTGTGCCAGCGGATGAGTCCATTGCCTGGGGTATGGGAGGTGACAGTCTCCATCCTTGGAGCTGGATCCCAGGTCAAGGATAGCACATCAGCATCTCAAATGTGGAGACAAAGTCAGGACCTTGCAAATAGGAGCTGCTCATTAAATATTTCTAGATCTGACTTGACCTTATTAAGTTCTAAGTAACCACTAATAACCAGGACAAATGGCATCAGGAGAGAAAGACGGCGCCAGCATGGGAAACAGGGAAACAGTCTTTACTGCATGTGTAGAAACTAATAATCTAGATCATTTATCCTTGTGACCAAGTGTTGGACCAGGCACAGTTACAGACATGGAGCTGGGTTCCCAACTGGGCTTGCATAGAGCTTACTTCTGGCAAAGGTTGACTTCCTCCACCAATCTGAATGGAAGCATTTAATACTCAGAATCTGGGATATTAGATAGAAAACATGGGTTCATGACATCAGGATTTTCCAATCTCGAGCTGCTATGGCTGCTGCCCTTACCTTGCTTGGGCTGGGTCTGCTGGGGTCAGGAAATGGGACCCTTCACTCCCAGCCAGGGAAGCAGTCTGAACCACAGCCCTCTCTGCCCATGGAGCCCCACTGGGGCACAGCTGCTGTTCCACCCTCTCTGCCAGGCTCTCCTCATTCCTCAATCTGACCAGGACAGTGCGCCCATGCTGAACATCACTGTTGTGACAGCAGGGAAGTGCTGGGTGCTGGAGTTTGCCCTCAGGACAGCCTTACCCAAGAGGAGGGCTGGTTGGGGCAATGCAGCGTGCCTGAGCTGGAGTAGAGGACGTCGTCCTTGACCAGGACAGAGACAGCTCTCAGAATGAAGGAGAGGAACAGGTTCAGGTGGATGTAGTTTCTGGTACAGTGCAGCTTCCTGAGGGGGACAGGGGAGGTGGAGAAGAGATGATCAGAGACTGAGGTACAGAGAAGCTTCCTGTGGGGCACAGGAGAGGTGGAGGAGAGATGATCAGACACTGAGGTGCAGTGTGGCTTCCTGTGGGTGGAGTTGGTAATGAGATGCTGATACTATGGACATCTTAATACTCATCCTTGTGCCTTAATCTTATGTTTTTTTTTTCTGGTACCAGGGATCGAACTCGGGACCTTACGCTTGCGAGGCAGGTGGCGAAACCACTGAGTCAAATCCCCGGCCCCCTTAATCTTATGGTTTTCTTTTGTAGGAAGCAAACATTTATTTATGTCTTCTATGATTATTTTATGGTTAGGTTTTTCCTGTTGTGCAATGTGATACGTATTTCTGCAATAAATCTTTCTGATTATTGTCTGTGGTTATATTTCAGGATAAAAGTATATGGGAAAGCCCTGCAGAAGTGGTATTGGAGGGTGTGGATATGGGACAGGCTTAACTGGACTGGGGCTGCCTCTCTTCTCCTGGCCTCTCCTGCTGCACCGCAGCACTCAAGCTGACGAGGCTCGATGTGGGGTGTCTTTCCTCCTTCCTCTTTGTCTTTTTTCCAATTTTATATCTTTGAAAGGAGAATTTCAGTTGCATATGAAAAAGTTGGTTTCTGTCCTGACAGACACTGCTGCAGCTATGGGAGGTCAGAAATCTGAGCTCACTGGAGTTCATCTGGAATTTAAAGCAAGGGGCCAATGAAGGGGCCAATGTTCCTAGTATTGCTTCATCCCACTGTATGACACAATTGAAAACATTTGCTCAGTTTTCTCAAGCAGATTCTAAAAAACCACCTAAATTTTGGTTGTTAAAACTCTTCAATATATACAAGGTTTGAATAAAACCTATGGCAAATGTTTAAATTTTAAAAATGACAGTAAAAGACACATTGCCATTAATCCCCCTCAGAATACCCAAGATGCTCCCCTTGCTTCAAACACGCTTATCCCATTGTTCTTGGCAATGTGTCTTTTATTGTAAAATGTTTTTTTTTGGGGGGGATCGAACTCGGGTCCTTGTGCTTTCAAGGCAGGCAGCAGAACCACTAAGCTAAATCCCGGGCCCATGTAAAAAGATTTTTAAAAAATTTAAATATGCAATCTTCGATCACCCCTTGTATGAGCAAAAGCCGCGGATGAGAGATTTCATGGAGCGGCTCAAGGCCACAAGAGACAGTGGCCAAAATGATCCTGTGGCAGCCAGAGTGTGCTGAGAGTTTTGAAGATTTCACAGGACTCTCTGGTTGTCAGATTTCCTGGGAACAGCATGGATGCCATCCAGACCTTCGGTGACCACAGGTCAATGACAGCGTGACTTACAGTTCCTTGGGGCACTGCACTGAATTTGATGCCCCAAAAGTGGGCAAATTTATTTAACATAGGCAGAAAGATAATAAACAACATGCTTTTTCTTCAAAGTTAAATAGATTCTAAAAAAGGTGATGTGATTTTGACAATGCTATTGTGAATATTAACGAAAATGACCCTGGGTACCTGATTCACTGGCTAAGACTTTAAAGTCTGGACAACTGATGCATGTTTGAGCAAATTTTCAACTGTGAATTTTATGAAATCTAAGTATTTCCAATAAAAATTTAGTGGCCATATTCAGCAATGCTGTGGGAATGATAAAGTGGATTCTGAAGATTTACTGTGAATAAGGAATGTCAAAGTGCACATTAATGTTCTTTACTGTGATCACAGATTGAAATGACAATAGTTTGGATCCAATGATTTAAATAAAATGGGTTATTACAATTGATTTCACTGGTTTCTTTCTATTTTTAAGATCTGAAAACTAGAACACTCAAAATCACCCAGGTGGTTGGCATCTTCCATCTGCACGGCCACCACATGGGGAGGTGCTGGGCTTGGTTCCTTTCTCCTGGACAGCTGTCAAAGCCCTGGAAGCCAGCACAGTGCTCATTTCAGTCCTCCAGGGTGTTCCATGGGCCCCAGAGCCCTTCGCAAGTCCTGCAAGCCTCACTGGAGCACTGAGAATTCGTATTTCCCACTCAAAACATTCTCCAATTAGCCTTTCATCCAAGGTTCTCCATTCTTAGGCTTCAGTGTTCCTGAGCCTTGTTTTCTTTTATTTTGGCTTACTCTGTTTTATTTTATTTTAAATTTATTTATCAATACATGTTTGTAATACATAATGACTGCTTTCATTGTGGGTATATTGTACATGTACATAACATTCACTGTCTTAACTCTTTTTTACATTCCCTTCCACTACCCATTCCCTTCTCCCTCTATCTCTTGATACCTTTCCCGTTTGCAGCAACTCTATCTTCCTAATTCCTCTTATCTATCTTTTATTTTGCTTTTTATATTTTGGCTTTCTCATGTAAGAGAAACCATATAGTATTTAAGTTTGTGTGTCTGATTTATTTCACTAAATACTGTGGTCTTAAAGTGCATCCATTTTCCTACAAATGACTCAAATTTATCCTTCTCTGTCGCGGAGTAATACTCCATTGTGTATAAATACCACGTTTTCTTTATTCATTCATCTGTGGATGGACACATAGGCCACATAAGAATTGGGCTGCTATGAACATGGATATGCATGTATTACTGTAATATGATGCCATTAACTCATCTGGACAGATACCAAGAAGAGGAATATTTGGGTAAAACGGAATTTCTAGTTTTAGTTATTTTTTAAGGAATCTTCATACTGACTTCCATGGTGGTTGTACTGATTTACATTCCTTCCAACAATGTAAGAGGGTTTTTCACCATAGTCTTGCCAGCATTTATTATTGATTTCTTGATGACAGCTATTCTTTCTGGAATAAGGTGGAAACTCAGAGCTGTTTTAATCACATGTCTTTAATGGCCATCAATGCTGAATGTTTTTCATGTATTTATGAGCCACTTGTATTTCTTCTTCTGAGAAGTGTCTGCTTATTTCAGTTGTCCATTTTTTGATTGGGGCTTTTATTTGGGAGGGGGTCTAACTTTTTTGAGTTTTTTATATATTCTAGATATTAGTTTTCTGTCCAAGGTATAGCTAGAAAAAAACTTTCTCATTCTGTAAGTTGTCTTTTCACTCTGTTGGATGTTTCTTTTGCTGTGGAGAAACTTTTAAATGTAATATGATCTCATTTGTTGACTTTTGATGTTATATCTTTTGCAATTGGGGTTGTTCAGAAAGTCCTTGCTGTTGCTCATGACTTCAAGAGTTTTTCCTACTTGACTTTCCAGCAGGTTAAGAATTTCTCTTTTAATATTTAGATCTTTGATCCACTTTGCTTTTAGTTTAGCACATGATGAGAGACATGGGTCTAGCTTCAATATTCTGCATGTAGATACCCAATCATTCCAGTACCATTTGCTAAAGAGGCTATCTTTTCTCCAGTGCATGTTCTTGGCCCCTTTGTCAAAGATCAGGTGGCTGAATGTGTCTGGATTGTTTTTGTGTCCTCTATTCTGTTCCACCGATGCACATGTCTGTTTTTGTGCCTGTATCATGATGTTTTTTTCACTGTAGCATTGTTAATATAACTTTAAATCTGGGACTATGATGCCACCTGCCTTGCTCTCATTACCCAGGATTGCTTTTGCTGTCCTGGATCTCTTTTTGTTCTGTATGAATTTTAGGATTGTTTTTTCTAGTTCTGTGGAAAATGCTGCTGGTATTTTGATTAGAATTACATTAAATCTGTACATCAGAATTGGAAATATGGCCATTTTGACAATGTCTGCCTACCCAGGAACAGCAGACATCTTTCCATTTTCTGATATCCCTTTCAACCTCCTTTTTCAGAACCCTATAGCTTTCACTGTAGAGGTCTTTCACTTCCTTGGTTAGATTAGTTCATAAGTACCTAACTGTCCTTGATACCAATTCCTGTCTATAAACACACCATACTCTCTCCTGCTCTTCACTGTGTAGTGAATATGCTTTGGGGAGTTAATTTATTTGTCCTCTGCCTGGTCTGCACTCCCAATAAAACTCTCTCTCTCGGGATTCTAGTTCATCTGCAAGAGGCACCAAATGTCAGTGTCAGAGTTTTTTGAATTTAACTTTATGTGAGTATTCAAAAAATACTCAGGAATTTTAATTTGTAATTCTCATATCACATAAATTCTGCCTTGAGGAAGACCTAATCTCAACTTACACTGACTTTGGGGGCACAGACTACATGTGACACTGTTCATATCTATCTTATTCTCACCTCCCTGCTCCTTTCTTTGGCCTGAGAGATGCTTATTAGACGGTTGTTGAATTTTTCTTTCCCTGCATTAACAAGGTTTTTGAGGTTGTCCTATGCCTTTTATACCTTGGTATAGAGAATTGACTTAAGATGGCTGAAGTTAAGAGTTCAATATGTGGGCCTAAGAGTAGATTAGATACAGCAAATGAGAGTTTTATGAGTTGGATCTGTAGAACATACCTAGGTTACAGTAGACAGATACTAAATAACAGAAAAGATAAAAAAATGGTAAGAAAATGTATGAGAAATGGTCAAAACACTGAAGATCATGAAAATGGGGTCTCAGATGGAGAGAAGAGGGTAGAAGCAACATCCTAGAGAATACTAGCTAAGAGTTTTTTTGAAACTGACAAAAAACAATAACAAATAAAAGAAACTCCATAAACACCATGAAAGACAAATGCACAGAAAATCACATTAAGTCTCCTGAGTGTTTAGCTACTGAAAGCCAAAGACAGAGAAAAAAAAATCTCATCATCAAGAGAAAAAAAGACATGAACAATGGTGAGACTGGCAGCTAACTTTTCAAAAGAAGCAATGACGTACATCCTCAGTGTGATGAGAAAAAATAACATTAACCAATTGGTACTCTCAAAATAATCTCAAAAATGAGGGCAAAATTAAGATGATTTCAGGATATCAAAACTCATGAGAATTCCATAATGCTATGGGGGTCTTCTTGCAGCAAGAAAAGCATTCTAGTAGGAAACAGGAGACCAGGAAGAGGGGAGCTCCAGAGGTAAACCTGTGGGCACCCTAATAAACACCAACTTAAACAACAGCAATAACAGTGCCCATGGGACTTGAAGTATATACAGAATCAAAATATGTGCAAAACACAAACGACATGAAATTAAGACATGGAATTAAAATGCTGCAATGTTCTTGAAATCAGGGAAAGTGATAAAAGTAGTATGGAGGCATGTTGTGAATGGGAGTGATAACTAGAAGAATAAAAACAATATTACGTAGCTAATAGTCTAACGGGAAAACTAGAACAAAGAAAATACTTGATCAACTCAAAAGGAACAAGAAATGAGTGCAAAGACAACAAAGAACAGCTGAGACAACTAGAAAGCAAAGAAATAGAAGATAGATTAAAGGTCAGCATTGTCAATAAGTGTGGTTGTAAAGATGTTGCATTTTAAAATAAAGGTTGTCAGTCTGGAGATAAAAAGCAAATTCTAATTAAATGGAGCTTATAAGATACCCAAATTAATAAATATAAAATTAAAAATAAAAGCCTAGAATATGATATACTTTGCAAACACAAAATAAAACAGTAAATATAACTATATTTATAGTAGACAAAGTAGATTTTTAAGGCAAGGGACATTATTAAACATGGTCAGTTTAAACTGGTATACTCCTAATAACATAACCTCAAAATACATACAGCAAACAGTGAAAGAAATAAAAAGTGGAATGGATAAGGCTACAATTGTAGTTGGAGATTTAATACATTTACTTTTAGAATAAGCAGTTAAAACAGTGATGTAAATGATATAAATCGGCAACACAGAATTTACACTGTTTTCAGATGAAAGTAAAATAGATCATGTGCTAGACCATAAGGCAAGTAACAAGAGAATTGAGAGTGGGTCTCCTTAGAAAACCTTGAGAAAGAACTTTCAGACTACAGAGCCCTGATCCCAGTCACGCACAGTCTAAGCCCTCTTAATTCACCAACACTGCCCTACAGCAACCTCTGATGTGGCTCCATTTGCCTCCACACTTTACAGTTGCACACAGGGGTTAGGTCAGTTGTCCAGGGTCATGCAGCTACTGATAGCTCAGCAGTCTCAGTAGGGCACTCAAGACCTTCCAAGTGGCTGCTCTTGTATTTTCATGCATTTGCGTGCTGCCTAGGGATTTAATAAATGATAGCTCTAGTGGACTTTACCCAAGGTCAGTACTGTATCATCTCTTCACACTGGAAACGCAGACTCTCGAGATACATGCACCTTGCTCACATGTTCCAAGGGCTTGGCACACAGTGGTTCCAGGCTGGGAGTCCCCATCTGTGGTGCCAAAACCTTGTTTAGCTCACATTTTTTGCAGAATTGCTCATTTCTGCTCCTTACCTGAAGAGGCAAAGAATTATGCTTCCAGTTGCAAGAGACATCAGAGAGACACTGTAGCCCAGGGTGTAAATGGCCTTCACCAGAATATAAAACGTGATCTACAAAAAAAAAAAAAAAAAGAATATCGGATCTGTAAGCTGTTGGTGACCCATGTAGGACAGTAGGGTGTTCTGAGGTCTGGTGCTGGTTTTCTGGGGCAGGAGACAGGGTCATCTTATACTTGCACCTCCATTTGAGCCCAAAAGGTCATCACCCTTTGAATACATAACCTTTCAAATAAGGTAGTAGGGATAACTTTGGGGTGGCTTCTATAAAGAGATCTATCTGAAGGAACTGGATCTATCACCATCAGGGCCCACAAAGGCAGCAGAGCTGATCTGCACCCTGTGGGCTGAGGGTCCCTGAGTCGTGCAGTCTGTACACACCCACTTCTAGATGACACTTTCCCGACTACATATCTGAGCACAGTAAGAGCCATGTGGCTTTGTAGGTCTCAATGAGGTACTCAGAGTGGCTTTGGGTTTGTTTTTTTTTATCATCTAGCATTTCTTGGGTTAGCAGTTTCATGGCTCAATACTTTTAATCACCACAAAATCAGCAGGCGCAGGAGGGATTAGTGACAATAATGGTCACAGAACCAAGTCATGTTCCTGCATATGTGCTGCCTGCTCAGAGCCTGAGTGTGGGCCATTGGGGGCCTCCTCATATCAGGATAGAGATCCACTGCACACAAGAGGACAAAGGAAATCATTTCAACAACAGCACAGTTTCCTCTACCAGTTTAACGGGGGATAGCTCAGTGTGCTGCTTGGAGTCCAAGGAGTCACCAACTCCCAGAAATGTGCTGCAAGCCCAGAATGCCACCAGCACTAAGTCAATGACTGCTTCCTGGACTCTACCCTGAGGGAGTAGTGTGAAGTCCGGACAAAGACATCTGCATGAGGACAAGCCATCCATTCAATGGAAATAGAAGCAGCCTAAATGCTTGGCGAGGAGAGGTGATCAGTCTGGTGCCAGCACACACCCAATACGCCTGCTGCTTCCTGCAATCAACACATATTTACCAGGTGCCTCCTGGGGCTGAGGAAGCCAGTGAAGCAAACAGACAAGAACACTTGCCTCAGGGATCTTACACTTTAGGAAGAGAAAAAAAAACAAAACACCCCCAGAATGGCTCGGTGAGCCACAGGGCGAGTATGAGGTGGTTATGGAAGAAATGCACATGGCACAAGATCCAAGTGGCTGCAGTGAGCAGAGGTGAGTTACAGTCATGAGAAGTGTGGTTGAGATCTGCCTTGGGGTGAACAGGGAGCAGCCAAGTGGAAGGAATGGCCAGTGCAAAAACCCTGTGGTGGTGGGGCCCATTAATACCAACAGGGAGGGGGCAGGTCATGAAGATGTGCAGGCTGTGAGAATGGGCCTTGAAGAAGAAGGGTCCACTGGGCAACCTGATCTGCCAGTACCTCAGGCTGCTGAGCTGGATGGACTCACAAGGGCTGGCAGGGGGGTGCAGATCTTCCTGGTGCCAAGTGCACGTTCTAGTTGGATACTGTGGAAACAGAGTGGCAAGAAGTGGGGTCCTAGCAGCTTGAAGGCAGGGCCAACAGGACCTTCCAGCAGATGAGCTATGGGATCCGAGTGAAGATGGAGCCACAGTGGATCCAAGGGCTCTGCTGAGGAAGTGGGTGAGGAGCTGTATGCACCGAGATGGGAATGGGCAGGAAGAGCATTTTTTTAATTCATTATGTTTACTGGTACATATTAGAACTAGATAAAGAAGATGTGGGTTTTTTCTTTTAAATAAAGTGGAGTACTACTCAGCCATAAAGAATGAGAAACTAGACTTTTATAGCTAAATGGATGCACATTGAGGAAGGGCATTTTCTTTTTTTTTTATGGTACTGGGGATCAAACTCGGGGCCTTAAGCTTGAGAGGCAGGTGGTGGAACCACTGAGCTAAATCCCCGGCTGTGAGGAAGGGCATTTTTGGTGAACTCTAATCCAGATGGAAAGAGCATCAGATAGACCAACGAAGAATTTCAACACTAATCAGAAGAAAGAGGGACAGCCAAGAAAGAGAAGGAAAAACCCAACAGGTTCTGCTCTTCCCACTCAGAAACCACTGCTCCTCCCCGAGACCTCCACCCCTTGGTTTCCCCCAAGCCCACCTTGCCCTGTGCCCACCTCACCCTACCAACTCACTCAGAGCCTCTGGCCACAGACCACCTGCTTTCTCTAGGGTCTCCAGGCCAGTCACTGCTCGTTGCCACCACAGTGTACATTAGGCAGCCCCTGGGCCTAGCATGGTGCCCAGCCAGCACTGACACACTAAGAACAAATGCAGGTACAATAAGCACAGAGCTGTGAGGTCTGGGTCCTTCTGAAACAACAAGACCCTCTTACGAAGCAGTCATCTAGCCTGACGTGCAGAGACAGGGACGGGTATGGGGAGCAGGCTTTCCTTCAGGGCCTCTGCTCTTGTCTAGCCTAGAGGGCTCAGCACCATGCATCTCAGGCAGGTGAGTCAGTATTTCAGGCCAGGAAGCATCACTTGCCTGCACCACTCCCCACATCCTTCTTTGCAACCTGACAGGGAACCCCAGCTCCAAGAGACATTCCCAGGGAAGTCCTGCACTCACCCTGCCTGGGCTGGGCCTCAGGCTGATGTTTGAAGAGTAAATTAAATTGATCAGTGGAAGCCCTCACTTAGCACAAGTAATCAGAGAGAACACACATTTGAACTAGCAAACTAATGTATTAATAAAACATTAGAAGAAATTTTTTTCTGACTTGTAAAACCTCAGTGGTCAACCACAACCCTCATTATATGGAACACTGGTGCTTTCCAATATGCCTCTTGCCATATGAAGCTCTTTAAAGTAATCAAAATTAAAGAGAGTCAGGGATTTAGCTCAGTGGTGCTGCCGCCTGCCTCGCAAGTGCAAGGTTCTGAGTTCAATCCCTGGTACCAAAATTAGAGTTTAAGCCCCAGTTACTTGGCTGTACTGACCACATTTCCATGCTCCACACTCCATTCGGCCAACAGCTTCACCCTGGACAAGGCAGATCAAAAGCATTTCCATCCCAGGAGGAGGCCCATTGGCACCAGCACTCAGTGACAACATCTGCATTTATCTACTCGGGCTGTTAATTAACAGTCACATGTGATATCAAACTTCCACCCCACTTGCAGGAGGACCCAGCAGACACTTTAAAGACTTCTGAAGGTTGCCACCTCTGCTTGGTTGAATGGGGCCAGGTTTATTCCCAGCACAGAGCCTAGACATAGACACAACCGCAGCCACACCAGATCCCACAGCAGATCCCTCTGTTGCAACGAAGTGAGCCCTGCCAGACACACTGACCTTTCTGTAGAAAGGACTCAGCATAGGCAATGGGTCATGCCATTCTGACATCTCAGTGACGCTCATCTCCTCAACCCCTTTGCTGTCCTTTCAATAAGGAAGTGTACAATTCAGTGTTTAAATCTCAAGAAGGGACAATAGCCCCAATCACCATGGGGTTCTAAAAATGCATGACTTCATACTAGAAAGAGAACAACCCAGTAGGAAATGTGCACTCTTGGTGAGAAATGGCACAGTCCAGCAGCTGTGACTTCGGTAGTTAATTCTAGCACTGATTTTGGACAGCAACAATTGCAAGGGCTTGAAGTTCTTTCTGTAGATCTAAGGTACTACTGAAGCCAAGGAGAAGGCAAAAGACAATTTCTGGAGAGCAGATTCCTAAGTGCAGCCAGGCCTCCAGAGATGCTCACTCACCAGGCCCAGACGGCCTCTTGGTGCACACCTCAAGGGAGAAGTGAATGTCACAGGTTCACAAAACAAAGCACTGAAATCAGGAGTATATTCTGAAAATAAAGGAGCATCTGGCAGTCTGCTTTTGTATAGCTGTCCCACCCATGGTCCTGCAAAAGGCTTGCATGTAAACTGATGAGAGGAGCATAAAGCCCAGGCCTTTTAAAATGCAAGCCTAGTCTTTTCATGTTTTTTTTTTTTTACCTTTAAGGTACTAGAACTGATTAAAATGTGTCAGGGAAATGCTAAATGTTTAGCATGACAGCAAAGTCATAGACCTCAAGCCTGAGGCTCTCTTTCCTGGACCAGCAGCTGCTGGAAACAACACATTTCTGGGTAGCACAAGTGATGATTTGCTGCTTTTCTGCTTCTGCAGGAAGAGAGACCTCCTCCCAGGTGAGGCTTCTGTGTCCCAAAGCAAACTGCAGGCTGAGGAACAGTGTCCTACCTGGGGAGGAAAACCCCTGGCTGTTTGTAGGGAGTTTTTTAGCTCCAAGTTTTGTATATGACACTTGTATTTCTTGCTGAACATATTTGGTATCACTGGTTAATTTGATTCATTCTATCCAACACATTACAGGGATTTTAACTCAATCCAGACACTGCAAAGTGTTCCAGGGAGTACAGTGATGCCTGAGAAGGTCAAACCGCAGCCTTAGCTTCACCACAAGAATTTTACTCTGGGGACTGTCCCAGGAGATGTGAGCTAGAAATTGACACAGGTATGAGTTAAAATTTGTGTTTCTGTGTCCATTAAAAAGACAGGAATGTCCACATTTCAAATATTAGTTTCACAAAATGGGCTTAGAGTTTATATATTGTTATGGTTTGGATCAAAAGCATCCCTCAAAGGGCTTATATGTTTAGACGTGGGACTTTTGGAAGGTGATTAGATCTTGGGATGTTCACCTTACCAAGAGATGAGTCCATTGATGCACTCATAGCTGAATGCACTGTGAGGAGGTAAGGCCTTGTGGGGACAGCTGGTCACTGGAGTCTCAGCCCAAAAGGGACGTTCTTGGAACTGGTCCCTCTGGTCTCCTCCTGCTGCCTGCTTCCTGGCTGTCATAGGCTGAGCAGCTTTCCTCTATGAGGCCCTTCTGCCATGATTTTGCTGTGGAGCCAGCCCACCATGGACTGAAACCTCTGAAACCATGAGCCACAGTAAACCTCTCATTCTTTAACTGTGTGTATCAGGTATTTGGTCACAGGGAGAGAAAGCTGATATATACAGCCTGGTGTTAGGCTTCATTTGGAAATGAAAAAATGTTCAACATCACTGG